CTCACATTGGTATACAGAAGTTATGAAGGGAGTACTTGCTGGGGTTGTAGGTGAAGCAGGAGATCTATGGCAGCTGACTGTCATGATGGCAACTATGAGTATACATCTCCTACATAGAGTACTCTATAGAGTAGGGGTCAGTGTAATGAGGGTTCCATTAAGGTTATTAATCATGTGCCCGATATATCTAGAACACAGAGGACATTCATTAAGTGTCACTGGTGAAGCAAGGGCTGTGTGGTAGCGGGCAGCACTACTGAGGGCGCATGGAGGTATAGGAGATGGAGAGAGGAATTCATTAGCAGAAGTTGGTGGGGCGGGGGTCTCCCAAGCATGGTGGTCATGCAGCAAGTAGGTAGTGTACCATGGCTCTGCAGGTGCTAATAGCTGCATACGGGGAGATAGCAGGGCAGATGAGGTCACTTGTGAAGCCAGGGCTCTGCATGGGATAGTAGTTGTACAAGAGCACTGACGGATACTTACTAGGGGTAGGGAACTCAGAGGGCATCATGAAGGGGCATGGGTGTCTGATGTGAAGTATTCACTGGGGCTCCACGCTGTTTAGGGCTGGAAGGAGGTCTGTGAGGTGGTATAGGGGGATATGATGCCTGAAATGGAAAACTCACTAGGGCACTGAGGAAACTAGGGCTCCGCAGGGGCTGGGAACCATGTGTAGGGGATGGGGGTACAAAAAGCAATGCAGGCAATGTGTGGGATACTCACCAGAAATCACTGGTGAACCAGAGGCTGGTAGCCATATAGGTGGGGGCAGGATAGGAGTATAGTGCTCTGTGTCAGGTACTCACTAGGGGTCTCTGGTGAAGTGGGGCAGCTCCTCAGATGCTGTCAGATATATGGTGTGGGTCCATGGAGGTGATATAGGGCTTTGATGGCTGGTAGCCATACCGGGTAGAAGAGCATGGGATACAAAGGGACAGTATGGAGCCCAGTGTGGACCACTCCCTAGTGGTCACTGATGAAGCAGGAGCTCTGCTGGGACTGGCGGTTATATGTGGTGAGTTGTAGGGAGTAAATGGGGGCAAGGTGCCCAGTAAGAGGTATTCACTAGCGGTCATTGGTAAAGAGAGGGCTTGTAGCTGTATGGAGTGAGGGGTATAGAGAATATGGAGCATGGTGCCTGGCATGGAGTCCTCAGTAGAGGTCACTGATGAAATGGGCTATGTGGCAGCTGGGAAGGAGAGGGTGCATTGGGACATGGTGCCTGGGGAGAGTATATGGGGCAGGGTGTGGGGTACTTACTATGGGTCACCGGTAAGGGGTGGCAGGGTGCCCAGGGGTGCATGGAACAGGGTGCTTGGGGGTACTCACTAGGGGTCATTGGGGAAAGGGGGCAGGGTGCCCGGGAATATTCAGGGCACAGAGAGGAGCACTCAGTAGGGGGTCACTGACGCAGGGGCAGGGTGTACAGTATGGGGTATTCACTAAGGGGTTTCTGGTGAGATGGGGGCAGGGTGCCTGGGGGTACTCACTAGTGGTCTTGGGTGGGCGAGCGAGCATGGTGCCTAGAACTGCTTCGAGAGGGTAGGGTGCCCAGGGTACAAACTAGGTCACTGGTGAGAGGGTGCATAGTGCCGGGGGACAC